CTGGGCCCGCCCCGCCCCCGCCGGCTGCCCTGCCACCGTCTTTTGGAGATTTCGGGGCTCGAGGATCGGGGTTCGAGGCCGGAGGATCGGGGTTCGGGGCTCGAGGATCGAGGTTCGGAGTTCGGGGATCCAGAGCCGAGGTTCGGGGCTCGAGGATCGGCGCTCGGGCTTCGAGAATCGGGGTCGGGGTTTCGAGGACCGGGGAGTCGAGGTTCGAGAATCGAGCTTCGGGCTTCGAGGATCGAGTATGAAGGTTCTCGAGGTTCGGGGTTCGGGATTTGAGGATTGAGCTTGCGAGTTCGAGGATCGAGTTTCGAGGATCGAGGATCGAAGACCGAACTTCGGAAGGATTCTGGGCACCCCTGGCTCTTTCGGGTCCTCCTGGAGGCCTCTGGACCCCTCCGGGGTCTACCAGTATCGGAAGCACAGATCCCCTGCCAGGGACCTCGCGGCGACGACGTCAGGGGCAGGTCGGTCGGTCGCCGTCGTCGTCCTGCTCCTCCCTTCTCCATCCGGGTCCCCACATCCTCTCAGCCATCTCACTCCTTATCCAGCAGCCCCCTCCAGATGTCGGCACATGCCCCTGCACCCCCACTGTCAATCCCCCCTCCACCCTCTCCGCCACACTCCTCCTCCTCCTCCTCCTCCTCCTCCTCCTCCTCCTCCACCTCCTCCTCCTCCTCCTCCTCTTCCTCCTCCTCCTCCTCCTCCTCCTCCTCCTCCTCCTCCTCCTCCTCCTCCTCCTCCTCCTCCCTCCTCCTCCTCCCCCTCCTCCCTCCCTCCCTCCCTCCCTCCCTCCCTCCTCCTCTCCCTCCTCCTCCTCCTCCTCCTCCTCCTTCCTCCTCCTCCTCCTCCTCCTCCTCCTTCTTATCCTCCTCCTCATCCTCCTCCTCCTCCTCTTCCTCCTCCTCCTCCTCCTCCTCCTCCTCCTCCTCCTCCCCCTCCTCCTCTCCTCCTCCTCCTCCTCCTCCTCCTCCTTCTTCCTCCTCCTGCTTCTGCTCCTGCTCCCGCTCCTGCTCCTCCTTCTCCTTCTCCTCCTCTTCCTCCTCCCTCTCCTCCACCTCATCCTCCTCGTTATTCTCGTTCCCCTCGTTTTCCTCGTTCTCCTCGTTCCCCTCCTCATCATCATCCTCCTACTCCTCCACCTCCTCCTCCTCCATCTCCTCCATCTCCTCCTCCTCCATCTCCTCCTCCTCCATCTCCTCCTCCATCTCAACCTCCTCCTCCTCCACCTCCACCTCCGCCTCCCTTGTTTTTTGGTTAGTGTCATTCGTATTAGAATTCTACTGGTGTTGTGCGTATTGTTCCTTGTATTATTAATTTGTCGAAGTATTGGTGTTAGTAGTAGTCTCCGCGTTGGTATCATTATTCGTTTTAGTGTTAGTAGTGTGTGTGTGTCTGAATATTCATAGTATTAGTATGATTCGTACGATTATACTTATTATTACTGTTGTTATTAGTATTATTCCTCCTCCTCCTCCTCCTCCTCGTCCTCCTCCTCCTCCTCCACTCCATTTTCCTGATACATAACTTCTCCCTGTCGCGTCCCGAGGCAAGTGTTTAGGGCGGGCCCGGTCTTTCGCTCTGAGACGTCCTCACCATTAAATGACCCTGTAGCTTAAAGCGTGACAACAGCTTCACAGATGGAGGGCGGGCCGTTTTCAAAATGTATCTCTCGCCAGAGCGCCGCGCACATGCGTTTAAGAAAATTGTAAGAGCTGCCCGGATTGATTGAGGGCGAACCGTTTTCAGAATGTGGCTCTCGCCTTAGCGCCGCGCACACTCGTTTTCAAAAGTTGCAAGAGTTTCACGGGCTGAGGGCGGCTCCTTATCAAAATGTTGTCCTCGCCTTAGCGCCTCGCACATTCGAGTTAAATGCGCAAGAGTTGCATGGATTCCCTTGATCAACGTACCAGAAATCGCGTCTTGGCAGGATTCTGGATTGAGGGTGCAACAGTTACGTTCATTCGCGATGCTCACGGAATGGCGTTCTGGCAGGGTTCAGGCCTGTCAAGACGCAACGGTCAGATTGATCCGTGGCGTTGGAATCCCAAGAACACTGTGCTGGCATGCTTCGGGATCTTCAAAAGGTTGTCTTCCAACGGGGCGGCCCCCTCAGTGGAAATGAACCGTTGTAGGGGTCTATGAAGAGTGGCCCCGATGGGGAGCTCCACCTAAGACCCCAGTGGAAGGGTTCGCATGGCACCGCCGCCCCATGTAGGCACACCACTCACACGCTTCGTGGCCCCATAGGTAACTCCACATAAGGCCCCAATGGAAGGGTTCGCATGGCACCGCCTCCCCATGTAGGCACACCGCTCACACGCTTCGTGGCCCCATAGGGAGCTCCACCTGAGGCCCCAGTGGAAGGGTTCGCATGGCACCGCCGCCCCGTGTAGGCACACCACTCACACGCGTCGTGGCCACGTAGGAAGCTCCACCCGAGGTCGCAGCGAAAGGGGTCGCATGGCACCGCCGCCTCAGTCCGTGCACACCCCCTCACAGGCTGCGTGGCCCCATGGGGAGCTCCACCTGAGGCCCCAGTGGGAGGGTTCGCATGGCACGGCCACACCATTTCGGCACACCCATCGCACACTTCGTGGCTCCATCGGGAGCTCCACCTGAAGACCCAATGGGAGGGTTGAAGGACCCAATGGGAGGGTTCGCGTGACACCGCGCCTCCTTTCGGCACACCCCCGTTGCACGCTTCGTGGCCCCATGGGGAGCTTCACCTAAAGGCCCCATGGCAGGGTTGGAGGACCCAATGGGAGGGTTCGCATGGCACCGCCACACCATTTCGGCACACCCCTCGCACGCTTCATAGCCCCATGGGGAGCTCCACCTAAGGACCCAATGGGAGGGTTCGCATGGCACCGCCGCCGCATGAAGGCACACCACTCACACGCTGCGTGGCCCTGCAGGAAGCTCCACCTGAGGCCCCAGTGGGACGGTTCGCATGGCACCGCCACACCATTTCGGCACACCCATCGCACATTTCGTGGCCCCGAGGGATGCATCTGAAGACCAATGGGAGGGTTGAAGGACCCAATGGGAGGGTTCGCATGGCACCGCGCCTCATTTCGGCACACCCCTCGCACGCTTCGTGGCCCCATGGGGAGCTCCACCTAAGGACCCAATGGGAGGGTTCTCATGCCGCCCCATGTAGGCACACCCCTCACACGCTGCGTGGCCCTGCAGGAAGCTCCACCTGAGGCACCAGTGGGAGGGTTCGCTTGGCACCGCCGCCCCATGTAGGCACACCACTCACACGCTCCGTGGCCAAATAGGGAGCTCCACCTGAGGCCCCTGTGGGAGGGTTCGTATGGCACCACCACCCCATCTCAACACGCCCCTCACCCGCATGGCGGCCCCGCCCCATCTCGGCACACCTTTCGCGCGCTCCGTGGCCCTATGAGGAGATCCACCGAAGGCGATACTCGCAACGACAGTACTCACAATGGTTGGGTCATTCGCCATGATGATTGGTCCGCCCCTCGGAAGCTACCCCGCCCCGCTCGCGCCCTGGAAGCTACACACACACACACACCTCCCCCTCTTTTCCTAGAGGGGGGAGGCTTAGCTACCCACCTCCAGCTATAACATCCAACCAAGGGGGGTAGCTTCGGAAGCCTCCCCCCCCCCTGGACAGGGAGCCCAGGCTTACCCAGGGCACAGAAAAGGAATGGAGGCGGGGTAGCGTCAAAGCCCCCGCCGCCCCCTTTAGCAAGGAGCTAAAAAAATACCGACACGGAGGAGCGGGAGAGAGGTAGCTTCGGAAGCCGCCCCCCTTTCCAGGGGGGGGGATAGCTTGAAGCTGGGGCACCCCTTTTCGTATTCCTGGCGCTGCGTGGATACTCTTGCATTCGTATGGTTGAAGAAGTCCCAAGAATGGCGTTTTGACACGATTTAGGATTGTCACAGAACGGAATTGATTCGCGGTGTTGAAGTTCCAGGAGTGGGGAATCGCACTGCTTAGGATTGTCAGGGCGCAGCAGTCACGCTCATCTGCGGCGATGAAGTCCATCAAATGGTGCAATTGACATAGTTGGAGACTCTCAGACGATTGTCTTCAACTGGGGCACTTCCTGCTATCAAACATCTTGTCGGGGCCTGTGAAGTTGGAGCTTGGAGAGGGGGTGTCTTGCAACATCGTTGATGCGTGTTTGGCTTCCACTGGTCCTCCTCCTCGTCCTCATCCTCCTCGTCCTCATCATCCTCCTCCTCGTCCTCCTTATCCTCCTCCTCATGCTCCTCATCCTCCTCCGCCTCATCCTCCCAATCCCCCCCCCTCCTCCTCCTCCTCCTCCTCTTCTTCTTCCTCAGCAGCATCATCAGCGGCAGTCCCAGCATCATCATCATCATCATCATCATCATCATCATCACCACCACCACCATCCTCATCATCATCATCATCATCATCATCATCATCATCATCATCATCATCATCATCATCATCATCATCATCATCATCATCATCATAACCAGCAGCATCATCAGCACCATTGTTGTCATCATAATGTGAATCAGCAGCAGCAGCAGCAGCAGCAACAGGAGCAGCATCAACATCAGCATCCGCAGCATCGTCATCAGCATCATCATGATGGCGATCATATTCATCAGCATCATCATCATCATCATCATCATCATCATCATCATCAGCAAAAGCAGCATCATCATCATCCTCATCATCATCATCAGCAGCATCATCATCATCATCATCATCATCATCATCATCATCATCATCATCATCATCATCATCATCATCGTCGTCGTCGTCGTCGGCGGCGGCGGCGTCATCGTCATCGTCAGCATCATCATCATCACAATCATCATGACAAACCTCATCATCATCAACAGCCGCAACATCGTTATCATCATCAGCATCATCAGCATAATCATCATCAGCATCAGCATCATCAGAAGCATCGTCACCATCAACATCGACATCACCCTCATCATCAGCAGTATCAGCATCCATCATCAGCAGCATCATCAGCTTA